AGCACAAAAGCATTTTGAAAAAATGAGCAAACCTCTAAGAGCCCATTGAAAACCACATATGGAAAGGGTGCTAACACCTTCCCTTTCCATAATCTATCTCTCTTACTCAGAAACATCTTGAAAAGGTCTTTTTCTATTCTTTTCACCCTTTCCTATGTTGGATAAAAGAAAAGACGGTGGCGACTTTTGCTTACCGCACATTTGCGAACAAAAAACGCAAAAACCAGTATATAAAGAGTCGTTTCTGCCACCGTATCACAGTATCCTCATACAATTCTTTCAAATATATCATTGCTTCCATATATTCCAACTCTTACTTGAACATGCTCTCATCTTCTTTTCTAGATTTATCTCGGTTCTGGACTGGGCCTGTCCGTGGCCCAATCACCAGTAAGCCCCAATCCAAGCTTGTCAATATATCATGCTGAGCAGTATATCCTTCGAGCACACCCCGATCATGGGTATCTGGTCGGCCACGATTGCTTCCCACCGGTGCCCGCGAGGAACGTCCCTGACGAGCGCACGCTCTGCTCGAGCACCCTCCTCGTAGGGTTGACTTTCAAACTCTCCGGATTTCACGGAGTCCTCAGGGTCCCGGGAAGATCGCGTCTCTATTCTCCCTGTCTTGCGGAGAGCATCATCCAGGTAGGGGTCACGTGCAGGTCCCTACTACTCACGTAGAACCTGGCAGTCCCTTTGTTGGGCTTATTTGATTAGCCTAATAAAGATACCTTGGCCCAACGCTGGGGACTATAAATACCCTCTATTTCGAGAGGGTCAGGTATTCATTTTCATTCACACCTACATACATACTTGCTTGTTTATTCCGTCTCTCACTTTGCCATCAGAGTGTCTTGCAGGTACCCCCCCCCCCCCATCTCCTTCAAATCCAGCCAAAGGCCAGCTGTGACGGTCCAACTCTGATCAGGTACGATCAGTGGCACCGTCTGTGGGAAACTAAGCTTCCTCATCTTCTCTCCATTTAAAAATACAAAAGCTAACAATCCTCGACTGTCATGGCTGACCAAACTCAGGACAACCAGAACGTCTGTGTCATCGAAGCTAACAACAACATCACCGACAATAATGCCGGCCTCGACAACACTGGCATCATCGGCCATAACACGGTCCCTGGAGGAAACATCCTCGGACCTTCTAACTACCGGGAAGGAGCCACGGCTTCATCTTCATCAATCCCTCCTCGGCTTGAAGAAGATCACTCAGTTCCTCCGAACTACCCAGCCACCCAATTCCACGAAGTCCCTGTCCCCGTCGGGGCAGACGCCACGACCAGGCACTATTTGCGGCGATTAACCAAACCAAATATCTCATCTTTGCCAAGGGGGAAAGACTAAGAGCACTCGAGGAGGACCTAAGGCCCCCTAGAAGGCACAGAAGACCTCAATCTCCTCCCCCTCGACAAGCACACGAACGTCCCATATCTCCCCCCGCGGAGACAGAATCCGGACATCTCTCGAAGCTCGTCGCCTCGACCAATCAGGTGACGACCCCCTTTGGAGAGGGAACCACTCGTGGGTGCTTTTGGACGATGGCCTTGAGCGCTGCTTCGGTCTTCGGGTGTCGTCGTGAAGCAGTGAACGAGCTGATGAACTGGTTCTTCAAGTTTTGCCAAGAGGTAATTGACTCTGGGGCGAGACCTTTGTACCAGTCCATAGCTGCTTTCCTCAGGGTCATGGGGAACAACCGGCATTTGATTGGTCCCTCGATGTTGTAGTAGTGCAGCATGGCTTCGAACCCGTCTATATGGTCGACCGGGTCGGCGACGCCGTCATACTCTTTTAAGTGGGGAGGCTTCTCCATGCCTGGGGGAATGGGCGCCTCCATGATAGCTTGTGACAAGGGACCGTGGGGGTCGTCCTCGTCACTCTGTTCCGGGGAGCGGGACGGGGATTTGATGTATTGTCGGTCACGGCGTCCCTGGTCGCGCGAAGCGTTCCTCGAGCGGTGTGATCGTTGATGGTTTCCCCCGTGTTTGTCTCTGAGAGGTCTTCGTTCTTACCGTGAAGGGCCATGGTCGATCCTTCCTGCGTCGACGAGTGGTTCCCTCTTCAAAGGGGGTCGTCGCCCGATTGGTCGAAGCGACGGGCTTCGAGAGATGTCCCGATTCTGTCTCCACGGGGGAGATCGGGGACGTTCTTCCACTAGTCGAGGGGGAGGAGATTGAGGTCTTCTATGCCTTCTAGAGGGCCTTCGATCGTCCTCGAGTGCTCTCAGTATTTCCCCCTTGGCAAAGATGAGATAGTTGGTTTGGTTAATCGCTGCGAACAATGCCCTGATCGTGGCGTCTGCCCCGGCGGGGACAGGGACTTCGTGGAATTTTATGGTTGGGTAGTTCAGAGGAACTGGGTGATCTTCTTCAAGCCGAGGAGGGATTGATGAAGATGAAGTCGTGGCTCCGTCCCGGTAGTTAGAAGGTCCGGGGATGTTTCCGCCAGGGACCATGTTATGGTCGGTGATGTCGGTGTTGTCGAGGTCGTCGTTATTGTCGATGATGTTGTTGTTAGCTTCGATGACACGAACGTTCTGGTTATTGTCCTGAGTTTGGTCAGCCATGATAGTCGAGGATTGTTAGCTTTTGTCTTTTTAAACAGAGAGAAAATGGGGAAGCTTAGTTTCCCACAGACGGCGCCATTGATCGTACCTGATCAGAGTTGGATCGTCACAGCTGGCCTTTGGCTGGATTTGAAGGAGATGGAGGGGTACCTGCAAGACACTCTGATGGTAAAGTGAGAGACGGAATGAGCAAGCAAGTAAGTATGTAGGTGTGAATGAATGAATACCTGACCCTCTCGAAATAGAGGGTATTTATAGCCCTCAGCGCTGGGCCAAGGTCTCTTTATTGGGCTGATCAAACAGGCCCAACAAAGGGACTGCCAGGTTCTACATGAGTAATGGGGACCTGCACGTGGCCTCTTACCTGGATGATGCTCTCCGCAAGACAGGGAGGATAGAGACGCGATCTTCCCGGGACCCTGAGGACTCCGCAAAATCTGTAGGGGTTGAAAGTCAGCCCTACAAGGAGGGTGTTCGAGCAGAGCGTGCGCTCGTCGGGGACGCTCCTCGCGGGCACCGGCGGGAAGCAATCGAAGCCGACCAGATACCCATGATCGGGGTGTGCTCAGAGGATATACTGCTCAGCATGATATGTTGACAAGCTTGGATTGGGCCTCACTGGTGGTTGGGCCACGGGAAGGCCCAGTCCAGAACACATACAAACAAACCACACGTCTCATCACTCTTTTAAAATGGACATCTCCAAAGTAGTCTTCCTTTATTTTTTTCCATTCTTACATTGGTACGACATCGTGCGACCTTGACAACCACATAAATGGTCAGTTCGAAATTTTACAGAAGAAGATGAAATTGATACACCTTTCAATGAGCTTAACTTTGAATAACTCATTGAATATAAGAGACGTGATGAAACAGAGAAGGAGGTGGATTTAAATTTGATGAAGGAGACGATGGCAATGAAGACGACGAAAGCTAGGTTAAAAATGAAATCTGCAATATGTAGGTGAATAATAAATAAGATTGTCTTTGGACATGTAGCACGTCATAAATAAAATAATATTTTAATCACAATAAAGTAAAATGAATTTAAATATATGTGTACTGTCACGTCACTTTCAGTTACTCTCATTTCAAGTCAGGGATCAATTGTATAATTCTTTGAAAGAAATTTTTAGAGATTAAAAATAAAATATGCAATATTTATGAAGATCGAAAATATATTTAACCTTTATTTCAGTGATTTTTACATTTTTTTTATTAATATATTATTTTTCCATTAAAAAAACTAAAATTTTAAATTTAAATTAATGGTAATTTGGTCATCTAGGTGATACCAGTTTTTTTATGATTAGGAAAAAATTACATTAATTAGTTATGCATCTTCATGTATATAAACCATTTATTTATAATTCAATAATTCACTCACTTTAAACTCTAAAATAAACTTGTCACCGAGTCCAAAATTTTCTTTTTATCATTTTCAAAAGTCAAATCCTTGAATTATCACTTAATGGAATCTCATTCTCAATACACTTTCTATTTCCCTACGTAATACTGTATACTATCTCTTGTCATATCTTATTTGTCTCCGAAACTTTTTTATATTTGTCAACCACATAAATTTTGGATAACTCGAGTTGTTCAATTATCTCGTAACAAACAATTTCAATTAGAAATTAAGTGAGTATACCGAGAAAACCAGGCACCAATTTAACCGGAAAAAGTGTATTTTTGTTACCATTGAAAGGTTTTAACGTTCAAAATGATATACTAGAATATCTGAACAAGGTGCTTGTGTGTAACATGTTGCTTTCAATACTATATTCTGTTTACTTGTGCGTGTAGAAAAACATTTGACATGTTAGCATTCTTCAAACGTAAGTACTTCAAAACTAAGCTACCTTCAAATCGTTAGGTATGTGTATGTTGCAGCATCTACATCTTGAGCTGAAAATTACATTTTTCAGTCAAGGTTATAAATAAGCTGCACTGACAGGTACTGAGTCATCATCAACTATATCACCCAGGCTGGCAATATTTCCCCAGAGGGATTTCCTGCTAGAATTTGTTGGGTCAAGATATCAAGTCTCTTACAAGTCATCGATTCGGCATCCATTGGATTGGAATATAAGTGGATCAATATTGATGCATTAACACAGTCTTGAATAAAATGAATGATGTTTTAAATTAAGTTTACTCATAGTTACTTGATTCATTGTGAATCAAGTAACTGCAGAAAATTTTCGTAAAATTTTCGTCCCGGGTGATCTTGTGATTATTACTGAAGAAATCTGTTAATGGACAAGGTTGCCTCTATAGTTAAATTGCTAATGAACTATATACTATTATCACATGAATTATATGCATGCTATACAATACAACATTCAAAAATTTCAAAACAGAGCAATATCAGTTTCTCACAATCCATGCCTTCTACAATTAGAATCCCACGTGGAAATTTTCAACTATGCTTCGGCACTGACAGAGACTTCAACTGCTGCAGCTTTTTTTGGTGTTTCTTGAGGTTTCTGCACTTCAGCTTTATTTGGAATCAGGGTTATATAAATGTTCCTCTCACGGAAGTTTTTAGCCACCTCTGTTCCAAGCTGCACAAGACCCAATTGTGGTTTAGATATAAAATCCACTTGGGCATTAAAAGAATGTCTCCATTGAAAGTAAAATAAGATATCAGCACACAATGGCTGCAACATGACTTCAAATAAAAATTAAGTATTGAAAGTGTATAGTGCACCAATAAATTACTAGTGTAACAACAAAGGACATACTTTTTCGATAGAAATACGTAAGAATTATGATATTGCTGAATCAGAGCATAGCAAAACGGCATCACATACCTTCCCAATATCGTTCCGAAAACGTTTAATAAGCTCAATAGCATTATTCCTGAATTCTTTTTCACGACCTTTAAGGTTTACTATGACCTTAACCTACAGCAATTGGTCCAAAGATATTAATACACTTGAAGATGATATATTGAATATGTACTTCTAATATGCCCTGTCAAAATAACAAATGTAACCTTGTCACCATCGGCCAAAAATTTCCGTGCAGCTTTCAAACGTATAGAATAATCGTGTTGATCTATGCTGTATCTGTTAAAATAACCAAAATAGTAAACACAATCACATTGCGTAAAACAACAACCCAAAACGATCGCTGGTTCATAAATAGCATTCTCTGGAACTAATCTAATTGAGTTCATGTTATCAAAAGAAGAAGAAAAAAAAACAATGCAAGTTTTATGTTTTAAAATGATGTTGTACTGTCAATTGTATCTATTTTTATAGTTTGATGCATCACATCAAAATCAAACTTCCCATGTTTATTTTTAAACAGCGTGATCAAACAAACTGCTCTAAATGCATCATGTCCTAATCAATGACATATTTATTAAAAAGAAACAGGATATAGGCAATGAAAGGCTTGACATGTGCAAATTCCTATGTTTAACTTTGAGCACTAGGAATAAACAAACTCCTATTGGTGCGACCTTTCCTAATTGAACCCAAGTTCAGAACCAAAAAACAAGTTATGAACAATAAATTGCACATCACATGCAGCTTATTTCTTTTTGTTTCTCGAGCAATGGAAAAAAAATTAACAGGTAAAGATGGATTGCTTTCCAGGAGAACATAGAGTAAACCCAATTAGATTGAACAGCAATAACAAAATCTATCTGTTCACATTTCTAACTCTTATAAATATTAAATTAAATTGTTCCATAACCAAGAATGGGTCAAATCTGAATGGAACCATACAACGAGAATTCAGATACTTCTTTTATGCCTTTTTGTCTATGAAATAATATAAGAAAAGAAGGACTATCTAGGCTTCTTTAGGACATTACCCCATTTTGAGCTCCTTCAAATCCATCCGACTAGCTACATTTAAAAGATCATTTGGTCAGCAATTTATATTCTGACCGAGTTCTATATAAAGGAAATTTCAAAGTCCAGTAAATACAATGCTTACCAGCACTTTTCTTCTGCTGATCTCTTTTCTTCTTCTGTAAGTCATATCTATATTTACTGTGAAAGAAAGAAAAAAAATACAAGGAACACTAACTTTCAAGGTCCGACCATTTACAAGGCATGAGTAGTAAGTATGCAGTGAGCAGGCAGAAAGGAAGTAGAAGTAATCACGGACCCACCAGGATTTTCTTCGGATTATGTTAAGTGACAGTCAAAGGCAAAAGTCTTTCATGAAACGTGTGTTTGGGTTAATCTCTATGTTGATTCTAGTATTATACATTATTATTGATAGATTATTTTCTTTACAATAGCCTCACCCAAAAAAATGAAGCGAATCTTAATGACAAAATACCTAAAAACCAAATTAATGATATTCACGACAAGATAGAATCACAACATCTCACTCAATACAATGATGCTTTTGTTTTATTATAAGAAAAGAGATAGGAAATATTGTGTAAAAGATGATGATATAAGTAATGTTAATTGGATGGCACTATAAATAGAGCTAGAGTCTAACAGAAAATCAAATACACTATGCATCCCTATTATTAGCCATAAATTACAACTTAATCTTTTTATAAGGAACAACATCTCAATTTTAATAAACAGTAACACAATTCCTAAAGAACTAACAGAAAAAAACATAATATAATCATTATGTTAGTTAAAATTTAATGTATATTTTCATTATTTTTTGAATTAATTTATTAGTTAATGTATTATATAATCTCAAACTGCACTGATTTTTAAAAGCATTGCTTTTTAATGCCAACAACCACTAGGTTTTTATACTACATTCAATATCATAAATAAAAACATGCGAGCTTTGTGTGTCTGGGTGAAAAAGAGACAAAAATAATTCAAATTGCAAAGTTTCATTTTTTTTTCAGGACAGAGTAACTTCATACCTGTAATTCATTATTCTAACAACAGGAGGATCTGCCTCAGCGGATACTATTACCTGCAGGGGAAAGAAAAATAGAGAAAGAAAATAAGGCTATGCATTCCCGCCATACAGAAATAATATGTACTCAAATGCCACTAGAAATGAATGTATGCTGAATAAATATACCGAGAACTAATTTCAAACAGTTGGACGTTCAACAACACAACTAGAAATAGCTCTCTAATCTATCCCTTGCAATTACAATACTCTTAAACAGACCGTATAAGTAAAACCATATCAAACTCTGCCTGTTTTTGTTTCTAAACTTTGTAATTATAATCATGTCCAAATTCCAAACAACGAAATACAGTGCAAATAAACAAGTATAATAGCGGCATAGTTAACAATAGCAAATAGCAATCCAAAGTGAAAATTACACCTATTATGTTGAGACATTATACTAACTGCAACCAAATTCAAAGAACAACAATAAAATATTGATTATAAAGCACGAACACTAGAAACATGACACTCATACTGACACGTCGGCACCGGTAATAATTTGAAAAAATGAATAAATTAATATCCTCACAAGTGTTGGTGTGGGTTTCAGACACACACGGACACATACACATTTTTTTTCATAGGTGTAAGTGCTACACAGAATATCAACATCAAAAGATTGTTGGATAGAATAGTAAAAAAAAAAAAATACAAGATGAAAAGGTTAACACACCAAGTCGAGTTCGGCATCTTCAGCCATTTGAATGGCCTGATCAAGAGTCACAATTCCAACCTAGAAAAGAAACCAAAACATGTTCAAATCAGTACATTACTCAACCAAAAAGCATTAAAATCAAAGCAAAACGAAACGAGAACAAACCATATTCTGACTCTGATCAATAAGCCTAACCGTATTCGACCTAATTCAAATCCAAAATCCAAAGCAACATAATCAACCACAAAAAATTCTAAATAGAAATGGAAAAATTCCGCGAACGATGAGTTAGAATACCTAATTTTGGAGAGGTCAAGAGCTTTCTCTTCTTCGTCGACATCTCTCTTAGGTGGTGGTCTTCTGAAGTTGTTACCGTAGGCGGAAGTGCGGAGGGTAAAACCGTAACGAACGGTGGTGTAGGAGGGAGAATAGTGGAAACTGAGGGAATGAGGAACAGAAGAAGAGAATAGAGGAGAGATTCTGGTATCGGAGAGTTTGAGTTTAACGGGGACGGTGGAGGTGGTAATGCCAGACATGGCGTTGGTTCACACCTTTCACGGTTCAACTTTGGCTCATGTTTAGTTCTAGTTGGTATCTCTTATCTTCAATCTTCTTTCTTTCTGTTTTTTCCACTTCAAAATTACAGTTCAATTATCTGAAGATTGGGCCGAGTTAGTAAATGCCCAAACAAGGAGTTTTTTACTGGGTATCCAAGTACTTGCACCCCCATACTTCTATAATTTTTTTTATAACTTTAAAATCTTAACTCTTTCTTAATTTATCTTTTAGATTTTTTTTATAGCTTTTGACAAAAATGTTACTCCATAAACCTATATAAAAGCCAAAAAGAATCTCAATATTTGATCAGATAATTTCTTATTTATTGATAGTAAATATTGGTTATACATTAGAAATTTCAAGTAAATAGAAATATTTGGTATGAGTTTTTACTAATTCTTTTTGGATTCTTCATTGAATCTTTACTATTTCTCTTGCACTTTGGTCAAAATTCAAAAATACTATTTTCGCATTGTGCAGAATTTGAAATTCAGACGCACCCCAACACAATAAATTTCTTCATTAGAATTGCACTCAACGTCAGGTAAAAAAATGGATTTCAATCTCCTAACACACCATACGCACATTGAAATCCAAAAAAAAAAACCATTTAAATGATGTAAAGAATATTTCCCTCACCATTCTAATGCATTTGAAACCAAGTGAAAAAATCCGAAGAGACAAAAAAAACCTCTCAAAAATTCAGATTCTCTCAACTTATACCCCTATTCATTCAAACTAAGCACTTTTACTCCTTTTCATTCAAACTAAGAACTTTTATATCTCACATTTGGTAAGATTCTCGTCCTTGCTTTTTTGTATGCATGCAATTCCTTAATAGAATATAGTTAAGTTATATTATATAGATAGTTAAGTTACATTAATAGAATATTTCATCTGATATTGATGCATATTTTTATGATTATAATTTTAAAACAATCGGGGGGTTAGGGTTTTTGCTTGATTGTTTGCTCTGATGCGTGAAGGATTTCAATCTGAACTTTTAGTGCGAATAACAAAATTCGAACAATAGTTTCAGCTTCTTTGTTTATGTTTGGTATTTTATTTAATAATATTTTAAGTGCTCCTAATTGTGATTATGATATAGCATGTCTTGTCTGATTGTAGAAAAATTGATTGCGTACAACATAGATACATACATGGTCGATTGTCTCAATATGCTTCAGTGCATAAGGATAAAGTTGAATCCTCGAGTAGTTGGAGAAACTTCTTGTACTGCTAAGGGACCGTCTTCCTGTGGACATGTATCTTTGGTTCATTACAATGATACTTATTTATAAGCTTTTGATGTTGTTGTAGATGTCATATCTCATACTGTCACATTTGGTAGTTTTTCAAAAGGCCCTGGTGACATATAGCTACTTTGGACCTTTTGTTGCCACACGTGTCGCATCCTTGATCACATCATCATCGAAAAACTAAAGCATTTTTAAGTTTGTGTAAAAGACATCCATATAGATAGGTCTATCTGAAGGTGAGAAAACACTTAGAAGGGGGACTTGAATAAGTTTCTCTTTTTCTTTTTCTTAAAGGCTCAACAATAATGGAAAGACACAATTATTTTTATCCTGGTTCGTTTGAACTCAAACTACTCTAGTCCACCCGCCAAGGTGATTTCGCCTTTCTCAACAAGGACTTAATTCACTATAGTCAAATAGATTACAATCACACAGCCAAACTGTTGTGACTAACAATTCAAAGCACAATAAACTTACAAGTGACTAACACCACTAAGACTCAAACTAGTCCTAGCCTTCTTGAGAAATCTGACCAAGCTTGGTCTCTCAAGGAACAAATACAAGAATTAAATCTTTACAGATAGTGAAACAAATTGCTTCTTAGAAAGCTATATCACAAACTGTGATTTTTCACTATTAGTTTTGTACAAGGTGTTTGTAAAATAATTTGTGAGCAGCAGAATATTTTTCACATAGTTGGGTAGTTGGCTTGAAATAAATGATCTTCTATTTATAGCATGAAGAAATCGACCGTTGTTGTCTTCAAAAGTGTGGAGCAATTAATGTTTGTGTGTGCTTGCAGTATTGCATTTTCCAATGAACTAGCGTAGACACTTGTGTGCATGTAGTCGTCTTTGCATTAAATGAACAAACGACACTTATCAGAGCATGTTTCCTGAAACTTGACAAGACTTGTTAGCTTCTTTATTCTTTCAGAACTAGCTTCACGTCTTACTTCAGAATATGCTTGCAAATCTTCTTATCAGCGCTTGCTTGCAGAATTCTTCTGAACATAGTTTACATGGAAACTTGCTAAGCTTTAAAAGATGCATAAATTAGTTTCTTATCAGAGTCAGCATCAGAACTTGCGCTAAAACAAATAGTTTTTTCATCAAAGAACTTCTTCATTTATTTTCAGCTCAGCACGTCAAAATGATTTTCATCTAGGAAAATACTTCAGTCAGAACATTATCTGAAATAAATAAATATGCTCATCAGAGTATCAATTATATAAAATATATTTTGTTGTTATCATCAAAACTCTGAGATATGATCAGAACCAATCTTGTTCTAACACTATCAAGTTTCATCTTCTTGAAAATTAAAAAACACACAGAAGATTGTATGTTCTTCTAAGTCTACAACAATACTTGGAGCTATCTGGACATGTCCCATGCTGGCCAAAGGCCCAATAAGATAAGGTTCATTTATCTTTCCCGCTCCATTGAGCCTAAAGTATAAATACCTTCACAATGGGATTTCATAAACACAATATTTAATCTCCACCCTCACTACGATTATCTTGAACCCTAAAGTGACTTGGGCGTTGGGATGCTAACCATGAAGGTATCCCCTCCCCTCTTTGGTCTACCGAACCAAAGATTAGCAACGTTGGTTCAAGATTAACATCTCTGATTCAAGAGGCATCACGATCATAACCTCTGATCCAAGGTGTCAATCAGTGAATCGCTTTGGAAACTTTGATGTAACATGATGTGTTTACAACTTCTGCTCAAAAGTGATTAGCCATATTTATTTCATTGATCATGGTTCTGGCCATTTCTTGCAACGTTCTATTCTTTCGTTCTACAACTCCATTTTGTTGGGGAGTTCTAGGACAAGAGAAATTATGAACAATACCATTTTCTTTAAAATATTTTTCAAAATAATGGTTTTCAAATTCTCCTCCATGATCACTTCTGACTTTTATAATTCTAAAATCTTTTTCGTTTTGCACTTGGTTATAGAAGTCAGCGAACACAAAATGTGACTCATCCTTGTGTTTTAAAAACTTAACCCATGTCCATCTGTTGTAGTCATCAACAATGACTAATCCATACTTCTTGCCTCTGATGGATGCAGTTTTAACTGGCCCAAACAGATCAATATGAAGTAGTTCTAATGGCCTAGAGGAAGAAACAACATTTTTTTATTTAAAAGAAGGTTTTGAAAATTTTCCTTTTTGACATGCTTCGCACGGAGCTTCTGAGTTGTACTTCAGATTGGGAAGTCCTCTGACTAAATTTAGTTTATTTAATTGAGAGATTTTTCTCAAGCTGACATGTCCCAATCTTCTGTGCCAAACCCATTGCTCATCGCTAACAGACAAAAGGCATTTTACATTCTGAGTTTTAAGATCTGACAAATCAATTTTATATATGTTGTTCTTTCTCTTTCCAGAAAAGAGGATTATTCCATCTTTTTGACTAATAGCTCTACAGGAATTTTGATTAAAGATAATGTCATAACCGTTGTTACTTAATTGACTTATGGACAGCAGGTTATGCGCTAATCCTTCAACTAATAAAACATTAGAGATAGAAGGAAGGTTATCATTTCCAATGGTTCCAGAACCAATAATCTTCCCTTTCTGATTACCTCTAATCTTGACGTCTCCTCCAGCTTTAAATTCCAGGTTTTGGAACATAGACTTTCTTCCCGTCATGTGTTGTGAGCACCCAGAGTCCAGGTACCATGACTGGTGTCTCAATTGAGCTGTTAAGGACATCTGCAACAAATATTATTTTCTCCTTAGGTACCCATATATTTTTGGGTCCTCTTGGGTTAGAGTATTTAAAGTTCTGTTTAAACTTTGGATTAGCATAAGAGTTTCCAGAATGTGATCTATATTTAATATCATGTGTATGTCCAAATTTGAATTGTTTGTTCAGAGGTTTATATGTGAAAGTCATCTTAGCAACAAGTTTTGGTATATATGTCTCCTTCCCTTTGGGAGTTTCATATCCAATTCCTCTTCTGTTGTTCCCACTAACTCCATAGATCATTGAAGCCATTTTGCTTCTATCTATGCTTTTAGCAAGAAAAGTTTGAAAGCTACAGTCATATTCTTTAAGAATATCTTTTGAACTTGACACAAAATCTGAACTAGAAATTTTTTGAACTTTTTGAATTTCCTCTTTAAGTTTAAAATTATTTTCTTTGAGTTCATATTTTTCTGTTTCATGTTTCTCAAGATCAGATGCAAGACTCTTTTTGAGTTTCTTGTATTTGATTTTGAGTTGACTATAGTTTTCCAAAAGTTCTGATAAACTTTCAGCAAGTTCAACTCTAGTAAATTCAGAGAATACCTCTTTTTGTTCTGACTCACGGTCTGAGTCATCTGCTGTAGTAGCCATCAGAGCTAGGTTGACATTCTCATCTTCAAAATTAGATTCATCTTTAGAGGATTCTGAATCGTCCCAGGTGGCCATCATGCCTTTCTTTCTACCAAACATTTTCTCTGGTCTTTCTTTTTGTAGTTTTGGATAATCACTCTTGTAGTGTTCAGGTTCTTTACATTCATAACATATTATCTCTCTTCTGTTTGACTTTTTGTGTCCATAAGATTCCGGTTTATCTTCTGACTTCTTGAAGTTCCTGAACTTCTTCTGTCTGTGCTTCCACATCTGGTTGATCCTTCTGGAGAGCAAGGATAGTTCATCTTCTTCTGACGCAGATTCTTCAGAGTTTCCTTCTTCAGCCTGAAAAGTGTTAGTTTC